TATAGCTGATGCCGTTTATTCAAAATTTGGCCATACATGCAAGAATATCGAATATATGTATTTAATTGATCTCTTCTTTAATTTAATTCCTCTCGTTCTTGATGTATACGTGGTTCATCATCGTGGAGGTGATTGGGCTGCATATAAAGAGGCCTGTGTAAGATGCTGGAGTGATCTTTTTCTTCGGTTTGATCGAAGGAATTATAAACGGGCCCCTTTAATGTTTTTTTCTGATATTTTTTATTGGATGAAATTTGTGTGATAATCATTTTGAAATGTCACATAATTATTAATTTTGATTGGTACAAAATTGATCGCCAAAGTCCTTCAAATATTTAGAAAAAAAAGGAATATTATCTTGCAATATTAAATCATAAAATACTACTGGATATCATACATTTAAACCACCATCTAATAATTTAAATATTTAGATAAAGAAGAAGGTATAATGTTATATGTGGTCATGCTTTTCATCATAAATGTTTTTTCCAAAACAAAATAATAAGTATAATTATTGTTGTGTTTAATGTAAAATCCTATATAAAAAGATTAGAAAAAGATGATAATATTAATAAAAGTTTATTATATGATGAAATATTAGATAATGGAAATAAGAAGAATAGTTAAAAAAAAAAAAATATTGTACTTTAAAAAGCTATATACCTTAAGCCTTAAAATTTCGGCTTTCATCCAACTTCTTTAGAGAACTTTTTTTTACCTAAATGTAAAGAAGAAAAGAAAAAAAAACTGCGCATAGATAAATTAGTTTTTGAATTATTATCGCATTTTTTTTTTATTTCTTGAAAACGATATAAAAAAGATCGACATTTGATTTTATCACCTCGTGATAACATTAGAGATTTATAAACGCGCCTGATTTTTAATACCGTAGCTCTCATACATAGACACACCGAATCTTGTCGTTTGGAAATAACAATGAGAATCAAGAAAGATTGCAGAAAAAATTTGAATGACGATGGTAAATATACATATAAATCTACGTTAATGCAATAATTCGTTATTAACTTCCATATTTTTTGAAGAATACTGGATGGGAATCACCAAAAATAACAAACCAAGTCTACTTGGGTATTTAAATTATCGAAAAACCAAGGTTGAAATTCTTGAAAAAGAACGCGAACTTTCACGATACCGTCAAGATTTTGAATGTATAAAACATCACTACAATGATAAAACTGGATATAACGCAAATATCATTAAACAAATTAAACATATTGAGGATAATTTTGAGGTACGTCCTTATAGGGATATCATTGAACCTGTGCTGTTCTACATGTCAAGTGTACGAGTACAGGAAATGTTACATTGACTATTATACTGTTCTACGCAAACGTACGAACGTACGTGTATGGTAACTGTACTGTTCTACGCAAGCGTACGTGTACAGGCAACTGTACTGTTCTACGCAAGCGTACGTGTACAGGCAACTGTACTGTTCTACGCAAAGCGTACGTGTATGGGTATTGTACTGTTCTACGCAAGTGTACGAGTATGAGAAATGAATGTGCCATTCTTGTCAACGAATATTGTTATGGAAATGTTTTATCTGATTCCGGAGGAGGAATCGACTATGCATCTTCCTCAAAAGGATTACTTCTTTTTTTAGGTCGAATTACATTCACCGGTCTCCAGAGGCATTTAAGGTATGTAAAAAGATATTAATTGATTTCTCATATCATTGCTTGCTTATATTTATTGTAATTGTTAGGATCAAGAAACTAGCTCCTTTTCCGCTAATAATGATCAATCTTCCCCTAATGATCAATATGATGACGGTGAAGATGTTGATAATAGTGCAATTGAACCAAATGACTTAGAATCTGAGAGAGTATCAATTATTTTATATTCACCTTTACAAAGCATGTCAAGTTAAATCAATTTTACAGAAATACGCCACAAGATTGATGAATATCGAAACACTATCCCGCAATCAAAACAATTTATATATCCGTTATGGTATTATATTATTGAGAATTTCTGGACAGCATACTCCAACAAACAATCTATTTGACATGAATGCTCTAAATGAAAGCATTCGCGATAAGGTTTCATTTGAAACCAAAAAAATACGTGTGATGAAGTTGAAGATTTATTGGACAAGTTATATGATGTAAGAACTAAGATGTGAAAATGATTTTCTTAAAAAGTAAGATTGATTTCATTATTTATCTTAATCTCACAAGGATCCAAATATAGGAATTATGACCACTTCAAATGATTATGAAAATGATTTGAAGATGTTTAAGGCAACCAAGCCGGAAACTTTCAGAGATGATGCATATGTATCGGAATATCTTATCATACTTTGATGCCATTTTTAACGACTATGAGAAATTTACTTTATATTGGTATGTATGTATTAAAAACCATTTGTCCTAAAATTTTATTAATTAATCAAGTTTTATGCAAATTATAGTGGCGAGAAATCTTTGAAAAGTTCTAGCGAAACAAGAACTCCGATCCACAATCACAGTCACGAATGGGTCAAAAATGTGATCTAATTGTAACTGCAAATCGTATCAGTTGGAAGCCTGAACTATTAATTGGTGAAGTGTCAGGAGGTATCTTCCCGGATGTTCGAGATGCAAGTCTTGGAAAGATAAAATCAAGTTAGCATGGGACTAAGGGATGCCTAATCAGGAGTGAAAGTGAACTAAAAGTAGATGTACGAAAAAGAAACCAAAATCAAAACCATGTCTCACTCTATAATCGAAGATTTCATAATACCACACATATTGACTATGACCACGTTGCCATTCAATGGAACCTCAGACGCTCAGTTATATGAAGATGCTTTAAATTTTTAGTCGGGTTCCGCAATTTCATTCACTGGTGCCCTAGTAAAGCTTCCGGTAACAAGACCGGACGCTTTCCAAAAGATAAACGTATCGTTGACGAACCTGGTTCTAATAAAGGTATTAGGTATGTATCTCTTTTTTTTTTAAAAAAAAAAAAAAAAAAAAAAAAAAATCGAAATTTTGATCATTTTATTAATCAATTCGCAATCTCTTTTTTTTCTGATAATAGTGGGGATTTGTCAACACACTAAATTGCCAGAAAAGTGGTCCTTATTAATCGTGAATTTGCTGTTGATTATATTTCAGTCAGGATTTTACCAAAAATGGATGCTGTCGATCATTCCTTTTATATTATAATAGAAATGTCGATTAGAAAGTTTTAGAATTTATTTTATAATTTACATATAATAATAAACTAATGAATTGTCAAGTTTTTAAATTTTTGTTAATCTAATATAAAAAGAAATAATAAACTTTTAAGAAATATTAATTTTATATAATAAAATTTTTTTTTTTATATTATGAATTAATTATCCATAAAAAGTAATAAAAAAGTGTTTATTTATTTATTTATAAAGTATATTTTTAATCAATTTATATGCTATTCTTCATAAATGCTTATGTAATTGAATTAACTTCAATGTTTTGTATTTATGAATTATTAAAAAAATCATTATCATGTTCGTTATCTAAATTAAAAAAAGATTTTACCTCTTTTAATATATTTAATAATTCACTATGCTTTTTAGATTTTATTTCAAGATATTTTTTGCTTTAGTCATATTTGCCTCAGCCTTTTATGTAACTTCTTATTTGGTAACTAAAATTAGCCTAAAAACAGAATCTGAACTATTATTATAAAAAACTTTAGTAATATATTCTTTTTGAGCTTGCTTTACCAAATTAGTAAAATTAATCATTTGTTTGCTTAATTCATATTTTTCTCCTAAGCTTTTATAAATAGTTTTTGATTCTATAAAATTAATAAAATTGTTTTTTCTTAGACAAATTTTAAATCTTTGATATTCTGTAATTAGTTTTAGTCAGATTTTTAGACCACTCATTTAAAAATCATTATATTTAATTGAGTTGAAAAAGTTGTTTTATAACTAAATGTTTAATAAAACAATAATTATTAATTTAAGTCATTAAATTCAAATACAATAACTTACCTGAAGAAATTTTTTACAATTTTATATAATTATTTTTCAGAATCTTATTTATTTCTTTTAATATTGCATCTAATTCTTGATACTGATTAAAAAGTCTTGATTAGGATACTACACAATTTTTTTATAATATTTTGTATGATTAGATCAAGTCATATCAGTTGTATTTATCTGTAACTTCTATCAAATAGTATATTGAATAGCATCATGCTGACCATATTAGCGAAAAGACTCTTTGCAACTTTCTTTAATAATAGATTATTTTTTCTAATGGTTGTTCTATAATTAATAATAACCTGAAAATAACTAAATATCTATTAATAAAATTTAGTAATAACTAATATAAGTTTGTTAAATGCTTTTATAAGATATAATAATTCTATCTACTTAAATTTCATTTGATACAGTAAATCTTTTTGCTCTTTTATCCAAGCTAAGTATCCTTTCACTAATAAATTATAATTGTTCTTGACATATAGTTACATAAGTTTTATAGCCTTTGATTAATGATAAATATTACAAACTGAGTCCTAAAACTTATAACAATCATAATATTTCTTAAAGTAAATAAGTTAGTTCTTAGTTTTATACCTTTAGGATATTGCAAATTATTTAATATCAATATCCCTTTAAATAATAATAAAAAAGTTATATAAGTATGTATATATTTAAAAAATAAATAAAATGTAAAACTTAACAATTTAGTTTTATAAACGACTGAAGTATATTCATCTATTTTTACAATTATTCAAAAATAAGGATATTTTTATTTTATTTTAATTATATATTAATATAAAACTCTATCACATGTAACAATCACATATCTGCAAATTCTATTTTTAATTTTTGCAATTTTTTCAATGTGAGAAAGAACTTTTTTAATATTTGTTATTGTATTAGGATTAATATTAAAAGGATTAAGAACCTGCAACATTATTGTTTTATAGTAAATCAGTTATAATTATAGCCAATCTATCTGAATTCAGCAATAAATACCATTTACATTCATTATAAATCTATTTTCAAGTTGTTAAATTTTTTTAATAAAATTTTTTGTAAAATTCCTACCAAATAGTACCAATCTAATTATAAAATGATTTTGCAATTATTTTTTAATTTTTGTGGTATATTACTAATCTGTAAATAAACTTAACTTAAAGAATAATATGTATTATAAAAAGTATCAAAATCATCATAATATAAATCTAAATAAAATCTAAAAATTAGCATATTTAAATTTGTTAAAAATCTAATAGATATACATTTAGCTGAATATTAATAACGTAGTTTTATTGAATAAAACTTCTATTGACTATTATAATAATATAGGATTTTATTCACAAAAAATTCAACTATAGATGGAGAAGGTTTGTCTTAAAACTAAACACTAATATGATAATTAAAGATAAAGGATCAATAATAAGTAATTTTGTTTCTTTAACTAAATATTTTTCTTGTAATAAGCATAAAGCATGTTGTTTTAAATGTAAATATTGTGAAATTTACTTATATAAAATAAGTTTTTAAATTCAAATTTTCAACTTTTCATCTATAATTATAAAGGAATGAATTTTACTAATTTCAATAGATTTTGAAATAGAATAATATTAAATAAAATCTTCATAATTAAATAAACCTAAACTAAACTTCATTTAGTAAATTATACAATATAAAAAATTATTAAATAATTAATATAAATTAATATATATCTTATGTTATAACTAAATTTGATTGACTAAAAAATAGAGATTCTATTTAAAGATCTTTTTCTTATAACTTTTTATATGACTTTAAAAAAATATCAGACCTAAAATATAATTGAAAACTAAGAAAAAAATTTTTTAATATATGTTGAAAATGTTCAATTAAAGAGAAGTAGTGTTTTACAAAATCAGATTAAATCAGATTTGAATAAAATCTAATCTGATTTGATTTTCATTTTTCAGGATCTGAATCTGATCTGAATCTATTGAAATTCAGATTTGATCTGAATCTGATAGATTGAATCTCAAATCTGAATCTAACAGATCAGTTTAAATCTAAATCCTGATCTAATCCAAAATTTTTATTGAATAAACAAATTTTTTCAGTTCTAAAAGAATTCTGAAAAGTCATTCTTTTTCAATAAAAGAAACCTTTTTAGCTTTATAAAAGGTCTGAAAAGTCATTTCTTTACAATAAAAGGAATCTTTTTAGCTTTAAAAGAGTTCTGAAAAGTTATTCCTTTATAATAAAAGAAACCTTTTTTGCTCTAAAAGAGTTCTGAAAAGTCATTCTTTTACAATAAAATGAATTATTTTGGCTTTAAAAGAGTTTCAAAAAGTCATTCCTTTATAATAAAAGGAACTTTTTCAGTTCTAAAAGAGGTCTAAAAGTTATTCCTTTTTAATAAAAGAAAACAAAATTTTGATTCTAAAAGATCTGAAAATATTTCCTTTCAATAAAAGAAATCTTTTTGGCTCTAAAAAAGTTCTAAAAAATCATTTTTTTTACAATGAAAAGAACTTTTTCAGCTTTAAAAAGTGCTAAAAATATTTTCTTTTAATGAAAGAAAACAAATTTTCAGTTCTAAGAGGTCTAAAAATATTTTCTTTACAATAAAAGAAGCCTTTTTGGCTCTAAAAAAGTTCTAAAAAATCGTTTCTTTAGAAGTAACAATTATAATGTCTGAATTTACTTATCCTATAATTTCTACTGTAATTCCTTTATATTATCTTTTTATTGATCATATAGAAAATACTATTGATAATATAAATATATTACTTTCAATTAAATTAGTTGCTAAAAATGTAAAGAAAAAATATTAGAATATTATAACAAAATAAATAATATATATTATTATACTTAAAATTGATATGCAATAATGATTTTTATTTTATTTTATTAAGTGTGACAGTCTCGCATGATCTTTATTAATATTTATGAATTTACAAAAAAAAACAAAATAAACAGAAAATACAAAAATATCTATAAATTAGTCTAGTGAACTAAACTACTTTATCAATACCAACCTTGTACTTTACTGAACTAAACTATATATCAGAAAAGAAAAGAAAACTAGTCTAAACTAAAATACAGATATCAAACATTTAGAAGGAAGGGTGTGGTTACTGCCAGACTAAAAATTTGATCAGTGAGTTCTATAAGCAATTGCTGCTGAGAAGGAAGCAGGATTATGTGAAGGTGTTTGTATAGATTGCAAAAAATCAGAGGATACCCAAGCTACAGTGAAATCATCTTTAATGTTGTTAAAGGTTTTTCATATTTGTAGTGATTCACATTTTTTCAATCATATCTTATGAGCTGGACAGAATATGTCATTAAATAAGGATGACATAAGATCAAGAGTAAGTTGTTTGTTATTTGTGATATTATTAATAGATATTGTGAAAGATAAAGGAATGATCCCTTTCAATGTTTCCTCTTGCATGCATCAAATGATGTTATACTAATATTTACTGAATCATTAAGGATATAAAAAAAAGATTGCCAATCAATGTGATAATTGCTGTATTTAGCAATTTGAGGAAGAGTCAAAATGTTTCAGCCCAAGAGGCTTATTATAGGTGTTTAATAAATAAATGAGGTAGGATGATGATTGGTATGTTTTTATAACACATGAAATATTTAGGACCTAGGTGATTATTGTTGATGATCAGAAAAGCACTGAAAAGTTACTTTACTAAAGTATCTACTTTGTTGTAAATTGATCTTATTTGTGAGCTTTGACTTTTGTGAGTGTTAACGTGACTTTGTTAGTTATAATAAGATTATCTAAATATAAAAATATGGAATTTTGAACGTAGGATTTAGGAAAGGAGACTCCTCACATATAGTAATGATCTTGTGATATGATGCAATTGCAGCTTGTGAATCAGTACAGATTTCAATATTAAAGTTTAGTGATACAGTATAAGTTGCGGTAAGAATAGCAACAATTTTCGCTAATATAGAAGAAGGAGAATGTAATATAAGTGTTGTATTAAAGGAGATTTGAGACCAGTTCTGATCTGTTTGTAACCATGCTATTCCCATCTGGCAGTCAGGAGATTCTAAAGATGTGAGAGAACCATCTATATAAA